TACTCCTGTCACTCCTCTATGATTTACAAGCTTTTGAAAAGCTGCCATACAAAGTCTTAATGCAAGAACCTGTGTTCCAAACAATTTTTTCCCTTCCTGTCAATGTATCTTAAATGCTGGTGTACATTATTTTTATTTCTAATGCAGAAAAAAATAACACATCATTTAGGTCCTTCTGTCTTTCATGTATTTAAGTTCCTCTGACAAGTCCTACAAAGTTCCTTCCAGTTTTTACTGACATTGGCAGAAAGATGACGAAAAATATTAAATGTAAGGTGGTGAGAGATTTGGTCTTAGAAGTAAAAAGAAACAAATAGAAGTGATATTTGGAGTATGCTAAAATTTTATCAGTTCAAATTGGCAATGCTGGAGTCTTCTACTCCAAAAATAAATTCTTTGGCTTCATAGCACATTAACTTGAAGTGAGTAAGTGAATACAGCATGCAGTATGTGCACTGCATGAATATGGCTATTGCCTAAATGCTGTCCTGTCTGGTTAGAATTTAGTTTTAGAAAATGTGTGTTAAATTCTATATCATGAGTATAGTGAGAAATAATGTCCGTGCTCCCATGTACATGTAATAAACCCTTACAGCTCATCTTAGAAGAAATGGATATCTTTATCTATAAAGCAGTTAACGGCATAGCAGAGAAAATATGTAGTTCAAGCAGGAAAGTGTAATGGTACTGCCAACTCTCCAATTGCTTTTTGGAAAATAAACAAAATCATGTACATGCCCAATTTGTATTCACTTAGATTAGAAGGTAGGTATTATTTCTGCATTTTGGCTGATTAAAAACTAAAATTCCTGCTCAGTAGAACATGGCTGAGTCCAAAATTAATAAATACATTGCATATCAGTGCCGTAGTTAAAGCAAAATGAGGGCTTCCTTCATGCACAAAATAATTAACTGCAATGTAGCCAATCACCAGCTGAATTTTTGAAACTGTAAATCTGATGAGACATTTGGACCAACAGCATTAGAGTTGTAAAAATAATATCCTTTGAAATGAATATACACTGTGTCATTTTTCTGTGTTACACTTAGATGAGCAGCATCACTCAGTCTCACTTAATCCTTAGAAAACTTACTGCCATGAACTTAGGAAAAAGAGTACTGACTGAAAAGGTTGGTGCCCTGATTCTTAAAAAATTATGTCAAATGGTATTTTTTACTAAGAATCTTTGCTGATGATCTCAGAATATGCTATCTCAACTGAAAGTTATTGTTATTAATCTTGATTTTTAATAATTTTACTGAAAAACAAAAGCAAGTTGAACCCCTATTTCTTGGACAGAATACAATCCCACATCATTAAGTAACATTAAGGACTCTGTGTCTTCAAAAAAGAATCCAGAGATACTACACTGGATGCCTGTGGCAGAACATAGGCAAATCTAAGCCCTCCATCCAAAGCACTGCAATAAACTCATATTCCAGCAAAAGTCTATCACCAAAAAATCTATTGCATATCATGATTTATTTAGAAGCTTTTGGACTTCCCAGTCCCAGAAGAACCCAAATATACTTATGGCGTTACCCTGCATGGGAGACCCACATGTGTGGAGAAATCAGAAGGCCTCCCTGTGATCCAGGGGGCCTTCATGCTTCCTTCTGCCATCATACTTCAGCTTAAAGGGGACAAGGACACCAACACAAAGGAAACTGAAGAAGAGGAGGGTTCCTCTTTATTCCTGCCTTTCCTTCCCCAGACCTCTGTGTCTGGGCTGCAGCGGTGCTTGCTGCCACCCAGTCTTTGTGCTTCAGCCTCATCACACCCTGGTGACTCCCCATGAAGAGATTCCTCTTTCTGTTTGTCCCTCAGGCTTTGTCGCTCACACATATCTGAGGTATATTGGTGCTCTCCTCTCTGAGTGGAAATAAATCCCTCTTGTTATCTCTTCCCATGCATTCACTTTCCAGTTTGAGTGTTTACTCACTTCTTATCTTGGGTCCCTGACACCCATAAACCAAGTTCAAAGCCCTTCTTTTTGTGTTAGCTGATCTATTTACAAACACATTCTCTCCCATGAGGGAAAGAGTCATAGTAACTCATAAACATAAAAGCTGATTTTGGAATTAATTGGCTTGTCATTGTATATATTTGTAATGTCTTTTACTGTTAGACAGAATACTATGTCAGTCTTTCTTTTAGAATATTGAAGCAAACTGTCCCATGTCCTTTGGTAAAAACTGGTGAAAAGGACCTGTGACATCATCAAGTCCAACCAGACTGATCATCACCCTTGTTAACTAGACCATGGACAACATAGACCACATAGAACAAGTGCTATGCCTGGATGCTTCTTGACCACCAAGCATAGTTCAAAGCTGAATTATTTCAGGGAAATCTCTGTCTATGGGAATGAGAATGAGTGTATATGTGTGGTCATTGTAACTATTAAGCCCTCTCAGGGTCTTGGAGGACAAATGACAGAGCCAGAGATAGACAAGAGTCATGCTTCTGATCAGCAACAGGTAGTCTGTCTGAGGAATTCTGTCATAAATGAGTCAGATACAGTGTTCTTTTGGTATTTGAACAGTGGTATTATCAACTTAATGATCTTTTTATGAGTTAAAAGAATATGCATTGAGATGCTGATACCTGAACTTTACACAGGTAAAAGTTTTGTTATTGTCTTTTATCACCAATATAATATTCTGTGGATCTTTACATTGCTCAGAAAACATCAGATGATTGATCTAGGTTGTACACTACAATTTTCTTAGCTATTGCACCATGAGGCCTTTTCTTCTCTCTGTTGTTTAAACTGTGATTTAGCAAGCTGGCTGATATTCAGTGCTTTTTTTTTTCCCCAAATTCACTTAAAGACACCTGAACCTAGACCTCTGATGTTAAATTTCCACAATTGTTGTAAACAATTGTTGTAGATATCCAAGGGTGATCACAATTGTAAGTGTATGGGAAGCTTATTCCAAGTGCAAAATGGAAAGAAATAAGGCTCTGTCCTAGAGTCAGTGAGTCAAGATGAGGGTTCTTACCATAGAGCTTTCTGAGAATCTGTTCAAAGTCACTGAGGATATGCCAGGAGTAGGATTTTAAATTTATACGTCAAAATACAAACTAATTCTTTTGTAAAGAAAACCCCGTGAGTTTTGTAAGTACAAAACACGTATATATTTTTAATAACGGTGAAAATTAAGCATATTATGTTTTTCTCTAGTATTTGTGAATAATTTCAAAATTGGTTCCATTATTTCCCAATATTGAATATTTTTAAAGTACTCCAAGCTCATTATTTCTGCATAGTTCATTTTAGTATTCACCATTTGTGGCTGAGCAATTTGATGCTTACCCATTAGGGGAATCTAATTTTATTCGTTTTAAAAATTGCTTTGCTCAGTCAGAGCTCGGCTAGTATGACCTTTTTAATTGGAGAATAATGGAGAATAAGTTATGGCTGGTGCTTAATGCCACCTTTTAATTACTGAATGAAATGTAAGGATATGTAAATGTCATTCTAATTGAAAATCAATCGCTGAAATATTTTTAAATGCCAAATAATATGATCTTTGAACACCAATGAGCAAATTAATTTATTCAGAAATATTATACATCTCCATTATTGTGGAGATGATTATAATACTAATCTGCACTTTTAAACTGATATTACTCCTAGCCCTTTCAAAATCCTTTTTAAAATGTCTTAACTGTAACTCAAAAATGCTTATTTTAGTATAACTAACTTTTTTTATTGATACTGGAGTGAGGAAACCTTTACAATCGTACAGAAGTTTTAGACTATACTAAAAACTTTTAAAAAACTGATTCAAATGGCAGTTTGCATTTTAAGCAAGTTTTATTAATGCTTTCAGTCTCCTCTAGGGAATTCTTGCGTGTAAAAGGATTTCAGTTTGGTTTTTTTTTTAATTAAAAGAAACTATCCAGATACAAAACTTCTGTGTCAACAAATGTCTAAGCATGAGGCAACATTGAGATTTATGATATATCAATGACAGTGAAGTAATGCTTCCTTGGAAGAAACAAAAAATCCAAATTTCACAAGGCACAAGGGTATCATCTTAAAAATGGCTTGGTAAGATGTGGCAAGGAAAGCCTGGAGACAGGATCTGATCCCTATTTGTGCTGAAAGTTATTTGCTATTATGGGTTTTTTGCTATTATGGCTGTCAACAGTGAATGTCATCAGGCTGCTCCATATTAGAGCAAATCTCATTCATGTCTTTCCAGAATCTGCCACATACCTAAGTTAGTGAGCCTTAAAAATGCCTGGAAAGAGTTAACTGACTTTTTACTGTAAAGCTTATTCACAAGTTTAACCAGAACTTCTGAGTTTTATTGATAAAACAATTTTTTTTCCTTTCTAATCTGAAAGCTTATCATGGAATTGGTGAATAGATAGCAGTGTCTGGCAGGTATCAGTGCTAACCAAGATGTGATAGCTATTAGGTCTTACTATGAAATTACATTAACTAACTTTAGCATAGGGCTGTGCCAGCATGTCACCAGACCCAAATTAAAAAGTGTTGTAAAATAGAAAGATTCTCTACAAAGTTTAAATCAGATGGAGAGGTCAAGCAGGCAGAATGTTTTTCTATAATTAGATTTCTATAATTAGATTGCAATGACTGAACATTTAGGCACTGTTGCCTTCACAATTGCTGGAAGTGATATCAGAAGTCATTAATAGTTCAGGTCTAAGCAGTTTAGAGTAGTCAGATCTGGTTTTGTTTGTTCTGTGTTGCATTTTGCAAGGGTTGGTTTTCAAGAATATATTAATTTTGTAGAAGAGTGACTTGAAATATAAAAGGTCTTCAGTTAATGTCTAGCTGACAGATGTGACACTGATTTACAGCCAGAAGATTATGACCATTTTCAAACAGAGTAATATAAAGCACTACCAGTGTTGTCAGCTGAGTGTCTTCCCAGCCAAAGATATCTGCATAAAATATTATTTGAATACAATAATTTACAGTGATGGTTGTCCTCTCAAAGATCATACCTTTTTTTTTCAGTCTAAAACATATATGTGCAGTTGGCAAGGGGATACCCTGTGTTTCACAGTCGACTTTGCTCTAGGATTTACCTGTTTTGACAGTAAAACGAAGGTAAGAGTAAAAGAAAAGGAAAATATAACTCTGAATTGTTTTATAGTTATTGAAGTTATCATCTATTGCATTTTCTTTATGTTTATGTCCAGTATTTATTCCTCCAATATACTGTACTATTTATTTATTTACCCCTACTGAAATATAGTCAGTTTGGGACTTCAAAGGGGTGATTATAGTTGTATAGCATGTAAAGATGCATTTTGAAGAAAGATATAAAAAAAGTAACTTCCTTTTCAAGTAATAAAAGCAAAGGAAAATTATATTTAGCAGAGAACTTGGTTTAACGAAGAAACTTAAAGATTTATAAAAGATTACAAGTCATGAAAAAAGTGAAATGTCACCTGATTCTATTTGTTTTGAAGCTATGAATATAAAATAGGATTAATTATTCTTCCATCATAAGAAATTTAGGTCATGTCTAAAATAGACAGAATAAAGGCAAATGTTTTTCAAAGTCAGAATCTAAAAGTTTACATGCACTTATCTTGCAAAATGTGGCTATATAGAAAGTGCCTACAGAGAATGCTTAATGATACATGCCAACTTCCAAGACCTGTCTATAATGCTACTATTTTCTGTATAACTTAGTGGTACTTTAATGTATATTATTCTAAGTGGATTTTAACATTTTTTTGATAGTAGAAGAAAACAAATATACAAAAAATGTTTCTGCATTAATAGAACTGTTCAGTAGAAAGTTGGTCTTCTCAAATATTTTTTTAAAAATTCAGTCAGTCATTCTGAGAAAAGAGGGAACACACTGCATTTTGAAATACTGATGCAGGACCTAGTTTTTGCATGTTGGCATTCTTTGGGTTTGGGATCAAAATGCCCCCAGATTTCAAATCTATTGAAATCTTAGTGCAGAGAAATAATGACCAAAACTGCATGAAAATTTAGATAAATTAAGTATGCATCCCATGCAGCAGGATAAAATTTCAGAACATATTTTTGTATACACTTCTCTCCCTCAGGTGATACTGCATTTTGGAATCCTGCTTTTTACACAATTGATCATATTTTGCATGTAATCACAAGTTAACTGTAAGAAGTAAGCTCTCTATCCTTTAGAAGGGGTTTCTTTTAAATGTGAAGAATGATTGCATGTACTCTCATCTTTAAAATTATAACCTTTCTCTATTAATAGGACTTTGTGTCACAGTACTGATCAATACTTCAGTATTGATGATGAGGAAGATTTAGATGATTTATTGCTGCCTACCTAAGGAGAAACACAGAATATCAGCAGATAGACTGATTCCATTGCCAAACAGTAAAAATTCTGGAGAGCTTAAGTGCATTTATTCTTCATCTGTGTGAGAGATGGAGATGTTCTCTGCATCCTCAAGCCTGAGTGAGGCAGTAATGGGCGACTTGTGCAGTTGATCTTGCTTCCCATAATTGTCAGCTGAAGTTTACTGTGTTTTCCCATATGCATAGCTATTTTAGAATATTTCCTGCCAATGCAAAAAAGATTCTTAAAGTGGTCAAGCAATTAACTGTTCATTAGGTCCACAGAAATTTTCTTGAAGAATCTATCTTTTTCTTAAATTTAATGAAAAAAATAAAGTCTTCTATTGATGTAAAGAATGCTCTTACACCCCAGCAGGTGTTCAAAGAGGATTATTAAAATAAAGGCCAGTCCCCTGTCTGCTCTATGACTCTAAATCTGGATCTCAAATTTCGGGTAACCAGCTCATGTAGTCATTGAAAAACATTCTTTTTTACACTTTGAAAAACAATTTTAAAAGGGCCTTATTATTACAAATTCTGAAATAAAAAGCACATACATTTTTTGCTTTGGAGTGTGGAGGTTGTCTCTGGCTTCCTCATGAGTCAGGCAAATGAGAGGAAATACAACTAAAGGCTTGTGAGTCCAGATAAAGGCAGGGAGAAGTCACTCACCAGTGACCATGGTGGGCAAAACAGACTCCACTTGGGCAAATCAGTTTAATTTATTACTAGTCAAATCAGAGTAAGATAATGAGAAATAAAAAGCAGATCTTAAAACACCTTTCCCCCACACTTCTTTGCTTCCTAATTTTCTTTCCAGCAGCACAGGTGGGTTGGAAATGGGGGCTGTAGTCAGTTTACCACATGTTGTCTCTGTCCTTCCTTCCTCCTCAGGAGAACTTCTCACACTCTTCTCCCACTCCAGCATGGAGTCCCTTTCACAGGAGACACCCCTCCAGAACCCAGCATGAGTCCTTCCCATGGGCTGCAGCTCTTCATGAACTGCTCCAGTGTGGGTCCTTCAGGAACAGCACCTCCTCCCCCTTCTTCTCTGACCATGGTGTCTGCAGGGCTTTTTCTCTCCCATATTCTCATTCATTTCTCCAGCACAAGAAAAATATCTTTAAAGAATTTTTCTAGAACAGTTTCTTTTCCTGCATATTCTATTCCAGGCTCTTGATGGGCTTAATTCATTCAGCTTTTATCTTTTTTGGGCTCATCATTGAGCTAGTTCTGTAGCCAGCATCTGCTTTTTATCTCATTGTAGAGATTCTTTTTATCTTGTCAGCTTGGTTGGGTCACCTTCCCCATCCTGTGCCTCCAGCCGCTCCTCCAATATGAAGGGATCCCAAAGTGTGCATTTATTTTCTGCCATCTTCCAGCTCTCTCTGCTTCTCTTCCCCACTCGGTGTCAACTGTTGAGAGAGATGATGACTCCAGCAATGCTTACTTTTACTAAATTGCTCCTAAGTTCTTGATTCATCTCCACCTTAGCAGTTATTACATAGCAAACATTCATCTATCCTGTTTAGAGCCAAACTCATTTAAGCTTTTAACACTTTTCAGGTGCTATAATTAGGCCCTCTGGACCCAGTTAAAATCTGTTCATGAATGTAAAGTTTAAGCACCATCACAGTGCTGTAGCACACTTCAGTTTTTCTTCATCTGTTATATCTCTCTAAGAATTCAGTGACATTTATGTCTGCAAGGAACCAGGAGATAGGTTTTTTTTATAGGACATTCCATTTTAAACTGTGAATAGGGTTCTAAAGCCCACTGGTAGCACTGGTCTACTTAACAAAAATATTTTGAGAAGAGGCATGTTGGAAAATGGAACAGAGCAAACTTTTTTCCATGTATGCTTTTGAAATAAGCTCCCAAGTATTTAAATTGTGTTTCTTCAGCAGTGTCCAGGAGCTGAAGCACACTTCAACATGTGCAGAGAATTTTCATTAAGATTATAAGTATTAAAGAAAACATCAACAGAAAGTCCAGGTGCAAGTTGGTTACCTTGTGGGGTTTTCTTTAATTATGCATTTTCAGGTGATGAATAGAAAACATTCAGATAAATACAGAAAATAACCTTGATTTCAAAAATAATTTCCCAATTTTTGTTTTTACAAAATATCTCCATAAATATTAAAGCATATCTGTCAATCTAGAGTTTGCCAGCACTACCAAGATGCCATGGATAAACCTGTGGGAGACCAAGAAGCTTAGAAGTCATATATTTTACAAAGCATTATGTAATGAAGGGACACATTTTTGTGGTTTCTGAGACTATGCTCAATAATAATATTTTTGCATTTCTATAGCTTTTTTGAGAATTTCAAACTACATTTCACACATCAGTAAGTTCAGCTTTGCAATATCTGTGTAAGTCACAATTATCTACGTTATGCAAATGAGCCAACTGAAATAAAAAAAATCAAGATATGGCATGGAATTGTATTCCTAAAGAAACTGATACTAATGTCCTCATGGATCTTTATGGAATGAAGCTTTTGCCAACTTTTTGTGATGTAGGCAATTGAAACATTTATATCTCAGAGAATTTCAAGATAGTTTAATTAATGAATTTTAATATTGCATATTTTGCTTTCACAAAGGGTACAGAAGTGTTAATTTTAATTGCTTTGCAAAGAGCCTGTTACCATGCACCACATTACTGCTGTAGTGCTTTATTTTTGTACATGAATATTGATCATCCTTCTATAGTTCTAGGTAAAAACATGTAGCAGAGTCCTTAATCAAATTTCTTTTTCTTTAGAATGTGCTGTGGAGGTTTAAATTCTCTCAGCTCAAAGGCTCATCAGATGATGGGAAAACAAGAGTAAAGCTGCTTTTTCAAAATATAGACACCAAACAAATTGAGACAAAGGTAAGCAACATCCTCTTTTTCAATTTAGTTAAAGATGACATAAAATTACTGTCAAAGCATCAGAAATCCCATTTACTGGGACATAGACATGGTGAATACATCACAGCTTATCTTTTTTCGCCAATTCTTTAGAAACTCCATAATAAATGAAAGCAATGTAATACCCATAGATTTATTGCACTATTTCTACAAGCCAGTTATTGTGTTATGATAGTATTTTACTTTTTCAGAAACATAGTTTATCTGAAGTTATTCTGTCAACCTATAGTAGAAATAATGTCTAAAAATTGTGTTCAAAAAAGATAAAGTAAAAAAAAAAAAATGATCCTGAGCTTGCTGTTGAATAAAAGAACCAGACCAGTTTTTCACCTATGTGGTTTTAAAAAGAAGGAGGCGAACTTTGGCATGATATGACATAGAAAAGGAAGATGAGACTGTGGTTCAACTGGGTTTTGGTTGACAAAAGCCAGTGAAACAAGAGAAAAGTATCTGAAAACCTGTGAAAGTTTTCAAATACTCTTACCTGGAGTTGTACAGGTTAAAGTCACTTATAAAGTAATATTTTTCTATACTGACCATACACAAAAGATATATGTTACCTATCCTTCTAATGTTTAAAATAATTGTAAGGAAGAAGTCCATAACCTTCCTTATTTGTCACAAAGTTACAGTACATGCAATATATCTTTCTTTATACATCTTTATTAGTAAATTATTCAGGATTTCATCAGCAAGCTTGACCCGAGTTGCCCCTCTTGGCTCTACTGTAAAAGATATTATAATATCTGTTACAAAAGTTACAATGTATAATAATTTATCTAGTAGCAGGCCATTTCCACTTCATTTCTCACAGTAGACCTTGGAGACAGAACAGGACTACTGTCTTCATTTTATATGTGATCATCTGTTGCTGAGAGCTTACATAACTTGTTTCAGGTCAGGCAGACAGGAAGATTGTACTCATGCATAAACTACTTTGTGTATCTCTGTGCATTAAATCTTTAGATAGTCCTTGTGTGTGATTAGCCAAGGCCTGCAATTCCATTGCTTGTAATGGAATTCTATTACTTTAATACTGTATCATTCATCTTTCTGGTGTGGTAAACAATCTGATTTTTAAAATTTTATTTTCTTTTTATTTTCGGCAAATTAGATTGCTTCTAATTGGTTTTACCCAATTTTACTCTTTGATAGAAAAATTGTAAATTTTAGTATTTTTTATGAAAATTTGGTTATCCGTAAAATTATTATAGGTGAATCCTTATTATAATTTTGCAGTAAATTTTGTTCAAGAGACATTTGTTAAAACACTAAAAATCATTTCTTTACATAGCTCTAATGAAAATCTTGTAGTTGGCAAAATTCACCTTGAAAGTATCAGATGGAAGTTGATACAGGATTGGTTCATACAGAATTCTTAATATCTGTGTACCCGAAAGTACATATGTGTTGCAAGTATTGGAAGATCCCAGAATAAGCTCATTAAAGGCCAGAAGAAAAGGCTGATACTGAGTAGCTGAGGATTTATCAGAATTTCAGTGATTACACCTTTTACAACCGCCTCTGCAAAGTGCAATGCAGCCACTAGCATTTCACATTTAATGGGACTGGGACACAGCTGTGCAGCCTCTCCACTTCAGATAACTGGTATATATCATCAACTGTATGCCCACCACCTAATTGGAATGAGTTCTTAGACTTGAGAGTTACAGGCTGGCTGGAAAATGCCCAGCACTAATGTTCATAGTACAATCCAGTAGTTGCCTCTGCTTATTACACTGAAAGAGATTTCATAGGGCCAGATGGTGCTATATGGTGAAATGCAGCCAGTAACAAAAAATAAAAATGTTATCAAATAATAGAAGTTTCGTTTTTCCTGGGTAAATGAGCCACTATGCACAAAAGAATCTTGATGCAGATGACTTACATTCCCTTGGTGGAAAACAGAGAGTCAAGGTTGCAAAAGAATTTTCCAAACTATATTTAATTCTATATTATTATGAATTCTTGGTAGTAAAAAAAAAAAAAAATCACACTTGGGAATTCTACTTTTGTATCTTGTTTAATAGCTAGATGTGATGTTTCTTCTCTTATTTTGGCTTCTAAATCTTAAGCCAAGTACTTCTTCCTGTGCACTTATTTTTAGGTGAACAGTACATTCCTCCATTTAAAAAGTTTTCTGTTGAAAGAAGATAATAAGGAAAAGATTCCTGTCAGTTTTTTCTCCTTCAGGTTCTTCATATTCCCTACATTTTCTTATAGTTTACCACTTCAGTACTTCCCTGAACTTACCCTGCCTTTAGTATTGAGAAATTACAAGTAATCTTAGTAATAGTAGATATTCTTTACCCAAAATGTCAAGGTTTCTCATAAAAAAGAAAAAAACTAAGATTAACACTTCCATGTTTGTGTTGATGCTTTATTTCCCTTTGCTAAACTGTAGCTATATATCTGAAAAAAATGCCTTTTTTACCAAGCCTATTTGAATTGAGCATTTCTCTTTTCTTTTCATCTTACTTAGTCTTAAATATTTATTGAAGAAAGATAAGAAACCACTGTGGTCAATAGAGTACTGTGAGCCATACTGAAGTCTCAGCTAGATGTTGCTGGTCTCATAAATTTCTTGTCTATTACAAGAAAATAACTTAAGAACCCTGCATATTCTTCTCATCCATGATATGGCAACCAAGCCCTGCTATATTTCCTGAGATAGAGAATCAAATTTAGAATTTTGGTTTCCATTTTGACTTTGATGTTGTCTGCAGCTAAAACCTGAATATCTTTATTTGGGCTTTTAACCTGAAAAAAACCCCAACCCAAACCATACCAAACTAACAAACAAAGAAACAAACAAACAACAACAGCAAAACCCCACAACAATTAAAAAAGTCAGTGTGATTGGGAAACATATCTTGAACAATACCAGAACTGGTAACAGTTCTGCTCCGGTCAACAAATAACATACACTGAGACTTACCAGTGTCCCTAAAGTCATGAAATGCACAGGGCACAATAACACTACCTGTCAGCATCTCCATTATTTGCCTTTCATGTGATGTCAAGGCTCATGTCTTGTTCAAACAGTGATTCAACAGCTCTCAGAAGTTCTCAATAAAATTGCATGCATAGTAATAATGCAACAGGCCTGTCAAGCTCTTTATGACATGTAATAAATCCAACTCTCCTAGTGGGTGGATGAAATAAGAACATATATTTTTCTTCCTTGGCTCTGCATATGCAGTGAAGGAGGTCAGTGCATTGTGCTCATTTTTTGTATTTTCAGTATACCAGCAGGAAATCTTGCAGTTTTGTCCTCCCACTGCTTTAATCCAATCTTTTGTATTCTTCTCCCAGTGTCTTCCTTCCAGCGCCTTTGTTGTACTTAATCCACTTATTATAGTACATACAGTAAACTGAAAGAGCTTTGGTTATTGAAATATTAGACATGCACAGATTCTCCTTAAAAACTGACAATCTCAATTAAAGAAAAAAGCAGCAAACTCAGATAAGGAAAGCAAACATAAGGGTGCTGTTAGATGGTATAGCACAAATAAAATGAGCAGTTACTCATCTGCCTGACTGACTACAGAGACAAATGTTACTTAAAAAAAATAAACTATCAGAGCAATGTATTTGTTTGAAAGAAGTGTCATTGGTGTTATTTTCTAGGAAGAATTCACATTGCATTCGAAAGCTAAAGAGGCTGCATTTCCATCTATAAAACTATATTCAAGATAGCAAAGAGACATATTGTGTCCCAGTCTTCAGACTATGCAACAGCTACATTTTCCCAAGTCAGAAAGCCATCCTTATCTTTTACTAAATCCATATATTCAAATTAAACCCCTCTTCCCCTTTCCCTTTTGTAATCAACATGTAAGCAAATCCTTACCCCAGCTTATCCTTAGGTATGTGTGACTATTCCTCATTATCTACACCTGACTAGCAGGCTGCAGGATTGCAAAGGCAGCCAGAACAGGCATCAAACATCCTTCAGACACAAAGCTCCACAGCCCTACCCCATTAGTGGACTTCTTGATCAAATACTACTGTTAGAAGCTGCATTTCTAGAAGCTTCTGGTGCATGAGGCCTCAGATGAGCCCCACCTTTCTGATGCCACCATAGGTGGCCACATCTAGCTGAGGCCTGTAAGATAACATCTCCAGAGCTCTGCTTCTGTTTTATGATCCCAGAGGATTGCTCATCCCTGCACAAACCTAACATAAGATAGTGAAGATGTGAGAGACAAGAGGTGTGGACGAGCTGCTAAACTGCATGAGGAGTGCTTATATGCCACACATTTCGCTTTTCAGCTCTGTAATAACTTTCAAAATTGGCACCACTCTTGAAAACAATCCAAAAATAGGGAACTTGCAGAATTAACTGCAGTAAGTAGTGCTGTTGCCACATAAAACATAGACTTAGTGTTACTGCTGGTCTTCCACCTCTAAGTAGAGTATATCTTCCAGAAACAAGAGCGTATTAGTATTCAAAAGGTTATTCACAAGAGATGAACAAGGTATGGATATACAGATTTTATTCTTAACAATTTTAATTTTACAGTTTCCTATAAAAATTCAATTTTCATGTTAAGGCCATTATTGTTTTCTAACTAGTCTACTCTTTATTCATATGAAATGTTTATAAATCTGAATTGAATTCTTTTTTTTTCTTTTTTTTCTCTTACTTCTTTCAGGAACTTGAATTTCAGGATCTGACGGCAGTTTTACACTGTATTCACTCCTTTATAGCAGCAAAAGTGGCATCTGTGGATCCTGTATTCATAGACAGTCAGAGTGTTGCAAGAAAATATATGTACAGTAACTGATACTAGATTAAATGTTGTGACTATGGAAAATAAATTATTTTCTTAACAAAAGTAGTTATTTCATTCACGATATTGCAACTTGGTGATTTTATAAAAAGGCTCTAGTTGTGTTATCTGTAATGTTAAGAGTTTTCACAATCTGATAAATATTTTGAATCTATGAGTTTAAAAATACTAAGTCAAAGCTTGTTATCTTCACCATTGATCTAAAATTCCAAGTGAATATTTGTAGAGTCATTTTGATTTCTGCTCTCATGATGATACATTCTACCCCTTATTACATAGTAATATGGAGTAACATTTGAAAAGTGTATGTCCAAAATTTGGCCTCTCTTTTGAAAAGTGTTGGGCATACAGACAATTGCTACAGTCTTCACTGTAAAAAAGAGGTAATTATTGAAGACAACTGCTGTAGGGATCAAACTTTCATCTTCCTTCTATATCTTTGAAAAATTGTAGTTCTGTGGTTGGGGTCTTTCAAGGCCTGAGAGTTTAGCTCTTGTAAAACACTAAATACTCTATCTATTTCATATCTAGGAACATAGCTAAGCACACACTTGGCTCTAAAAATACTCAGCAGCCCCAGTATTTGCAAGGTAATGTTAAGAGTGTATTTAAGTATCAGCTGTGAAGAGCTTTAGACTCAGCTAAAAAGCCCAACTATAGACACTTAAGTTTTAAGAAACTTGCCATAGGGTTTTCTTATCTTTTAATAAAGCCTCCATGACCCATTCATTTATTCATTAATAGATTGACTTGACACCTATCCTTTGATGTAATGCTCTGTATGCTTGGGAACAGCTTTTATTTGGAGAAACATGCTTCCAAGATAAGATGAACATAACAAAACATAAATATTTTTCTGGAACATCTGCCTTTCTTTTTCCTATTGCTTTAACCTTGACTCTTATTCAAGAAAAGTGGATTTTGTCCTTGCTGAGGAAAAAATGTTGTGTTACTTTTGACATATGCCTAACTTTCCTTCTGAAATCATAATCTTAAATAAACAGATAATACTTACTGCAATTGAAAAAAATTATTAAAAAAGAAGACATTTAATCTTAGGGCAAGTTCCCTGTAAGTGATACCAGATATTGCAAGTTTTTCTGATAGGAGTTTCTGTTTTTCTCACTTGTACTTTTGAGGCAGCATCAAGAAAATAAAACAATCAAAATCGAACAAGTAGAGTATCTTAAGTAGAAGCCATGGAAAGGAGTGAATTCATCAAAGTTCTCCCTATATTTTAGGAGTCTTATAAGGTGCCCTGATAAAGTTACAACCTAAAGTTACTGTAGCCTAATGAAAAGAGGTTGGTGCTTTTAAAAGGTCTCAAGTGAGGAGTGTTTTTACATAAACTCAGTGCTTAAGTTTAGTCAGCTGAATTCTCTCCTTCAGGTCTTGAGCTGTCTTTTCATACTGCAGTGGGGCACTTGCTTCGAACTGATGCTTCCCTGTCCACTTAAAGCTTGGGCACAAATAAAGTGCCTGATGCAGGTGATTTAATCCTGCCAGGAGGATTGCATGTTTCTAAGTGTTATCCACAGAGAAATTAATTTGAATGGTGCAGACTCTGTTTGGAGTTCCAGTGTTGTTTGCATTGAGGCATGCTAACTCCTGGTAAAGCAGTACTTAGCAAATGTGAGAAATATTTTTATTATTTTAAAATAAATCTTTATAGCCATTATTGTATCTTTAACATAACAATCTCATTATTGTATCTTTAACATAACAATCTCAATTTTATAATAATTTGATTTCAAGAAAATAATTTTAAAAGTTTACTTTTTTGAACACGCATTTATTGAAAATGTTTCATTTAATTTTAAGCTTTCTTTTTTATTTTCAGCTCATTGTATTTACTGGGGTTTTAACAGTCACAAATTACAGCATTAACATTATAGTATCTTTCTTACAACCAATTCTCAATTCAGTTTATTAGCATGAATAATTAATCACTTTTTATGTAGGATGAAGAATTATGGAATTCATTCAGTTTTGTTTTTCTAATATTTTCTCACAGACAAAGTTCAATACTAACATGTTAGTTATAGTAGAAAACTGTACTGGCTAGTTCTGAACTGGTACTACAGTCAGACATCTAGATTTAATGTTTTAAGAATCATGTAATCATAAACTAGAATATCTCCCCTAATACTGTAATAAAACCTTAAAATAAATTAGGCCTAATTTATTAAATAATCTTTCATTTCCACCAAAAAATGTTCTGCAGTTCAAAAAGAGCATTATTGATTTTTTTTCCAAAACCACTGGATACTGCACTTTTCAAATTTCTTATATGAAGTTGTTTATGCTGATTTTAATTAATTTTGTTATTGTTTAATGGAATTTTTAAATTTTTTTAGTCTTTTGATGAGCTACTGTTTTTGCAACATAGTAGTTTTCTTCTACATGCCCAAATCAATCTCAAGGAATATTAGAGAAAAAATTCTTATAAATTCACCATCTGAAATTTAGCATTGTATTTTAGAAATAATTCTCCAAACATATTTTTAATGAGGAACTTGAAGATCAAGCTCAAGATTAGCTCAGTTGCTTCTTTCTTTCTTTCTTTCTTTCTTTCTTTCTTTCTTTCTTTCTTTCTTTCTTTCTTTCTTTCTTTCTTTCTTTCTTTCTTTCTTTCTTTCTTTCTTTCTTTCTTTCTTTCTTTCTTTCTTTCTTTCTTTCTTTCTTTCTTTCTTTCTTTCTTTCTTTCTTTCTTTCTTTCTTTCTTTCTTTCTTTCTTTCTTTCTTTCTTTCTTTCTTTCTTTCTTTCTTTTTCTTTCTTTCTTTCTTTCTTTCTTTCTTTCACATTCTACAACACTCTCAAGGCAGGTACTAAAGGCCAGTTATTTGAGAAAGTTGCCAGAGGCTGGGAAAAGCTAATGGATTGCTAGTTACTCAGCTATTATATAGGCTGTGTAGGGCTTCCATAGCACCTTGTATTTCTTAGTCATATACCTCATATTTGAAAATGTTGCATTCCAAATTTGTTCCGTTGCTTATGTTTCTTATGTCAAAGCATGTGAGTTTGTAATTGCCTTCAGAATGTGGATCACATATCATGCATATATTTTTCTCTGTTAATGTATCTGCACCACATTTCAGCTGACAAAACATCTCAAAATAGGAAAATACTGGGATTCACAATTATATCTGCTGGTAGAAACCTTCCACAATCACCCCTCAAGAATTGTGGGCTGAGGCAGAGGACACCTGCTTAAGCCATTTCAAATGTCAAATATTTAATTTCTAATGAGATCATAAAACAAATTTTTATATTCTTTGTTACATTCTTGTGATATATTAAGCTTTAGTCTTACAATCTCATCATTTATTTGAGTATAGTTTTCCTTTATATTTTTCTAGGGTGACGAAGGTGTAGCAGAATTGAATATGGAGTAGGAAAAGACAACCATTTATGGAAGCAGCACCATAAACAGCAGGCTGGGGAAGGAAGCATACAAACATAGTGTTATAAAATTGGGCCCCATCACAAGATCAAGATAGCCACTTGTGATTAGAAATGAGTAAAAACAGGACAGTCTCTGTATGTCCAAATTATCTTTATGCCTTTTTTTAAACTCAAGACTTGGTTAAAAGGCTAAAAATGATCCCATCTACAAACGTGATTTTGAGCAAATGGGTAGTACTCTTGATTTAAATTAGAACAAGGCTCATCAGTGACTTATAAATTAAGGAGTGGTACAGCCTGGATTTAAGCACAGGACTTGAATCATACTGATGATTTGTTAATATAATTTCTGGAATTTTTTGCTCTAACATGATTAAAATCTGCGGAAAAAAATCCTATCCACAATCAAGCTAAAGTCAGCTCAGCTCTGTTCTCAGTGCATGGCATGGTTGTGCTACCCTGTTGAAAACACCAGAGCATTTAATAGAGGCAATGTGGCCAGGGTGTGCCAGATGGCCTCAGGGATAAAAAACAAGACCTGACAATTTTAGTTATAAATTTAGGTGTTACCAGAGCATTTCACTGCCTTAATCTGAGCTATAATATTTTGTTTTATTTTGGCCTGTAATCATAAAGTCTGGGAGGCTGAGGCTGTGCTGATCCAAAGCTCAAGATATGGAAATCTGACTGAATTCTTCTAAGGTTAGGATCTTAGAAAAACTATTTCAAAATTATTCTTAACCTTGAGCCAGTAAGCCTGAAGCTTAAAAAATAATTTTCTGTGGGAGGAAGACCTAGCTATGCCAAATTTTGAAACCATTAATCTAAAATCCTGTATTATACCTGAAATACATTAATTCATAAGTAACTTCAGACAAAGGCATGCTTTTTCCACAAAACCTTTAATGTGTAATCTGATTTTTGCAGTGGCCTAAGCAGAATTTAAAATTGCCTGAATTTCTTTTTAAGTACATGTCTATAAATGCTTCTATCAAAATGCTGTCAGTATTTTGTAACACTTTCCTGCCCACCTGAGTATCTCCTCTGTTGCAGTGCTCAAAGTGAGATGTGTATAATGGCAATGCAATTTTTCTGCTTTTTGTTTACTTCTGTTGTTGATTTTCTTTTAATATAGTTTGCCTGTGTCCTCCAGTAAGCTTTTTCAGAGCAGAGAGGGTGAATGTTAGGAAGAAGCACTTTTCTCCATGCTCTCTTGAGAGGCAAAGTGGTGATTTCTGTCGCTCTTTCCTGTACATGAGAAATGGGAGAAAGTACTGAAAAAATGGAAGTAGGGGAGAAATGGACAGACAGACTGTGAAATATTAAAAAACTTCTTCACTTAGGTATACAAAACCCTTCTTGGAACTCATTTGACTTCATCAGGAACTTCATCAGGAAATTTATATTTCAGTGTAGTTGTCTTACTTTGAATTGCTGTTATTGACCTATGGATGCTGAAGAGTTGAAGTCTGCAAAGAAAAAATGTAAAATATATTATGTAATTGTATTTTTTTTAAACAATGCTTCAAAATGTTTAGGTACTTTTGTGTTGAAGCATGCAGACAAGCAATTATCTTATGTGAACTAAAGACCTTGTAGTAAATTTACTAAGTGCAAAACAAATTTGTGTAGCATACAAGATGAAATCAAATATGTAT